ATATCAGATTAGCGATACGATATGTACATATGCATACATTGTCTGCCTGATTGGAAAACCAATAAAAATATTATAAATTACATTTAATATAAATTTTGTAATTCCACAACAAGGAAAAGTAAATAGTTTCTGGCTAAACTGTTAAGGAAGAGTGCCATAAATTCACCATCCGCTGGCGTGTAAATGAAATTGTTCAATTAGCAGAGAGCAGAACTGACATATAGTATTCATAAATCAGTGCTACTAAGTAGCTAAAGTACTTCATCTGATCATGGGATTATATGTTGATTCGCTTAGTACAGATTAAAGATCTAACTGAATATAAAAGTCGATCAGTATCAGAGTTATTTCATTTTGCTGCAATCCTGTTCAGATTTATGAGGTTTACCTGGTCAAAGAAGGCATAATTTATCCCATAAGGAAATAAACAAGTTATTCACTGAGCTTTGTTTTGTAAATTGTAAATTAAATGGATGCAAATCCTGACTTAAAAATATCACACTGTTCAAAATAACACAATTTTCATGATTGTTCAACTCCCCAACTTGGTGCAAATGAATTTTCAATGGGGTACTGCAGTATATTGGTGGGGGGGGGGTGTATAGAGATATTGTATATCGTATAAGAGGGGGAAAATTTATTGTATATTGTATAAGAGGGGGCAAAATTTATCGTATATGGTATAAGAGGTGTAAAAAATATGGTATAAGAGAAAAGATATGGTATATGGTATCTCAAGGCACCGGTAGGTTAAATATATGTTTAAAAAAGAATTTAAGAAGATTAATTATGAAGAAATTGTACCCTAAAAATTCCCCATTGTGCTGATTCTGTAACCAACTAGAAAAACATGGAAAAGAATTCTCTCGTTTCACATTCCAGGTCGATCCATAAATATTGAGAAAATCACTCTTACACTTAAAGTTTTGTGCCCTTTTCATTCAAATTTTCAAAAGGAGGTGTTAAATACAGTCTCGAATAAGAATGCCAAATGTCATTGAGTTTTCTCAACTTTGATGAAAAATATGGTCACTATTGCTACTTGTTTCGGGGTATGTGGGTATCATTAAAATATTTGAGTATAAAGTGATGTTACAGTGTATGTATTAATAAAGCATCACTAGATATGCTAATATAGTAAAAGGTATTTATTTGGTCTTAATAATAATCAGAGAAAGGACCACGGAAGGTATCGCAACAGATTTCAAACTGTCATATGTTGGATTTCGGTTATTTATCGGGGATTTGAACAGTAACATATGTTAGACAAACGTATTTACTCCAGATCAAACACTCATAGAGGTGATCAAATAATTCAGACTTTGAGACATGGAAGGTGCAAACACCCACAAACGTTTTTCTGAATGTTGACCTGATTTTCAGCCATTTCCACTCATGTTTTTTTCAATGTTTGATGCATCCAATATGTTGCATTTTTAAAAACAGTTAACCTCTCTAAAGGAAAATATGATTCATTTGGGATGAAGTGGAAAACAATATTTCCAGTGTTATTTTTCCATGGTGAAAACTCATGTTATCCATTGTTTTCAGCTTAATTTTGGTCACCCAAAATTAATATCTTTAAAAATCCTGCATGAATCATAATTTCCTTTTAAAGATGTTAACGTGTCTCAAAACGCAAACATGGAAAAAGCAGGTGTGGAAAGGCTTGAAAGCAGGACAACATTACAGAAAAACATGTTGATGGGGTCTTTGCACCTTCCCTGTCTCAAAGTCCAAACTATTTTATCATCTCTATTACTGCTTGTCCTGGAATTAATGCATTGGCCTAACATATGCACCTGTTCAAATCCTTAGAAAATAGCCAAAATCGAACATACGATTGTCTGAAATCTGTTGCAATACCATCCATGGTCCAAGTTACTTCTAGTTACATAGAGTAGTTTTCATTCTCATCAATACATCTTTGCCTTGAAATCATTGGTGAAACAAGTAATTTGACCATTATGAAAATTTACTTAATTTTGGCACACTTTTTTTGACTTAGACTGTCTTAAGACTGTCTTATCTGAAATCCAGAAGTGTCTCTGTTTCAAATCTTCAAACAATCAAGTCTCATCTTTTCTTTATTTCAATCTGAATTTATTTATTTGGAAGTCCTTTGTTTCTGAAACTGTTTTCAATACTTAACTTTTTCCAGGTGACTGTTTTACAAAATTATTGTACATTGTGAATCTTCACTATCTACCTGACAGTGTTATGGTCAAAGAAGGTTGCAAAGAGAAGTTATGAATCTTATTTTTGGCTTGTTTATTCCACAATCGCACCCCCCTGACTGGAAACCACCCCCCTGACTGAAAACTGGCTACGCCCCTGCACAGATGTACCTAAATGATGTTTTATTCATAATGTAATAAATGAAATCATTGTGCCGTATCATGTGCAGTCTATATCTCTATTTGCCTTATAATAATACATTTACTGTAGTACATGTATTCTCTCCTAATATTATTTCTTGATAAATATCCAACAGCAGTTTCAAAATTATCGTATATTGTATTTCACCTGAACTTTTGTAAAATATCGTATATGGTATAAGAGTTCTGAAAAATATTGTATATGGTATAAAAGGGGTGAAAAAATATTGTATATGGTATAAGAGAGTTAAAAAATATTGTATATGAACTCCCAAGACCCCCTATACACCCCCCCCCATTGGTCTTACTGAGTAAATCCTAACACCCCTCTAATTTGGAATATAGCATAATGTGACTCTCATTCATAGTCTTGCTTCAAGACTGTGGGCCTTATCTAGGGATCTAGGGGGAGGGGGGTCCAGGGTCTTAAACAAGACAATCCAAATTTTCATTCACCTACTGGCTCCCATGTTAAAAAATACATTATATATGAACAACTGCAAAACATTTTCAGCCAGCCCCAGTGGCATTCAAATAATACAGGCATTACTGTATATCTGAATTATAATCTAGTAATCAATTTACTCATCTATTTAACAAAATGGAGTTTATCCAGGGACTATGTACATTTTTGTAATGTAGACATGATATAATCACAACAGTTCGACATCAGACAAATTGATTGTTAAGTAACTCAAGCCATGGATTATGTTTCCTGAACTTTTTTATCGATTAATGTCAGTAAATTGAAATTACATGAATTTAACATGTTGTACTTGAAGAAATATTGTTTTTATGAAAGTTTTATAGGTCATGTTGGTCTAGATTGTTTTTTACATAAATATCTTCTATTTTGATGTAATTTATATTGTCAAAGGCAACTCTAAAGTTTTATTTCAGTTATTACTTAACTCTGACAAAAAGAGAGAGACCACACATTAGCATATCGTTACCACGCATGGCAAACCCTTCTCCAATGATTATATCTTAATAATCCAGTGATCTCCCCAGGATTTTTTCTCAAGTGGGTGCAAAATTCTCATTTTCACAATTCAGACCAAAATTGGTCAAAATATGCCAATTTTTCATGACTTTTCTCACTTTAAAGTGGGTGCAAATGGATTTTCAGGTAGGGTGCAAGGGTGTTTTCAAAATCTCAGGTGGGCGCTGCGCCGACTTGCTTTAATGCTGGGGAGACCACTGTAATCGCAACTTCTATTTTAATAATTTCTTAAAAAATCACAGCTGTAGTAAAGATGACACTGGTGAAATAATTGCATTATCATTTTCCGAGAAAAAAGAAAATGAGACGATTCCATAACTTAGTCTTGCTTAGCTATTCACCATAGTGCTCTTTCCGGTTTTTTTGTCAACAGGGTGTGAACAGACTATCAACAAGGTAGTATGTATATTTTGAACTTTTAAATGGAATAAGTGTGTCTGATTATTAATCAAAGACACACATCCAGTTGATTTACTTTTACAGAATAAACTACAGTAAAACCTCAGTGAACATCTCTCTCTAATGAACACCTGTCTTTCAGGGACAACCTTCCTCCGCACATACTCAACTGACTTTTGTATAAATTACCTGCAGTGAGCACCTACCAACACTGAACATTTCTTCTTAGCAAAAATGCACAATTTCTACAAGGCCCCTAGCCAGGATTTGCAAAGGGGGGTTCACATTTGACAATTTTGGCCCAAATATGGCTTAAATCACTTGAGAAGAGCTCAAAATGGTGAAAAACTGCATGATTTTGAAAGAATCTTTAGCCAGAGGGGGGGGGGTTCACCCGAACCCTGCGAACCCCCCCCCCCCCTGGCTCCGGGCCTGTCTACTATACATTATAAAAAATGGAGATCACACTCGGCACATTCTACAAATGGGTAAGATTAAGAATAAGAGAAATAAATGCGGTTATGATGTTTACATAATCAATATTAATTAATTAGAAGTAATAAGAAAAATGAAGCATAACTTCACTGCCTCCTCGAATGTCTCTAAGGAACAGATATTGTGACATTTGTCATTATATTAACCTCTTGAAACCCAGAGTGACGAGAAAATCTGTCACAAAAATGTTCACTAAAATTGCTCTTATTTGAACAATTTTCATCCAATTTACGCAAAATTGTTTAAAAATCTGTAGAAATGATATCTGCCATCAAATTTTACTAAGTTGAGCATCTTTTGTGTAAGAACAGCTGTATGTAGTAAAATGTCAAAAGGTGGCAAAAATGAAAAATTCCCTGGTTTCAACCGATTTTAAAGCCTGGGATTTAAGAGATTAAGAATGCAATTCTCCTGACTAAGAATACTTTCACATATATAATGTTTAATCCAGCATGTTGAACGTTGTTGAGAAATTAAGAAATGCACTATACCAAGCTGGATATCGACTGACATTCAGTTAAGATTTTGAAAAACCATGAAAATCTTGAATTCTTTTTTTGAACATATGTAAAATCCAGAGATAGCACATACTGTAAAAGTTTGAAACATATGTTTATCATCTGAAAAGAAACATGGGTGAATGCCTCCCAGGGAGCACCTTAACATTATGGGATAAACCACATATCCAGAACCTCACATTGCATAACTCTCATATCTGTACTCACCTGAACCAGCACATGCCTGCAACCACCAGTCCTACTACACCTGCTACACTGCACCCTGCTATGATTGCTATAACAACAAAAGTAACAACAATGAATAACAATGCGAAAAATTCCATTGGAATATCAAAATAAGAAAAAGTATGTTATCCCTCATGAGCAGTCGATAGATTTCAGCATGAGAATTTCTGACATCAGGAAAATTAAATGAAAACATTTTAACATGGATTACAAAATTCTTCAAAATGACAAGTGATTTTGGGAGAAACAACCAAAAATCTCCATTTTATCCTGCTATTGAAACCACTGGCGAAAACAAATTAAAGTGGTCATTCTTTGATTAACTGTTCTTCTTCAGTGAATGTGTTATTAAACAGAACAATAATTGCTTGACCATCCACAGATAATAATACTAACACATTCCGTCAAGTGCATATTACCGTACTTCAAATATATTAATGTTCAGCAGAGAATGAAAATATATGAATTTGTTGCATTTAAACCATAGAACTTGATTTTTTAGATAAGGTCACCAGATGATGGAAATAAAAAAAAGAAGTTATTATTTGGGCTTGAAATTAATTGATGATTGGACTAAGGGAATTTTTTAGCGACAGATACTGAAATATATAGAGACATAATAATTTGAAACTTTTTTATAGATCATTTCAATGAGCCCAGAGAGAAGCAGTTTTACTTTCTGTGTATTTCCTACTGCACATTACTCAATGGTAAATGGTACATTAATACTCCAGTATCAAACCCTTGTGTTGCCCCATCTACTTCCCTTATTACCCCAACTGTTACAGATGCAGAGAAAAACTGATACCAAGGGCAAAAACCCTGGCTTAACAATAATAATGTTCATCTCCACTTCATGACAGTGACATACATAACAGAAGGGACCACTTGAATGACAATTGCATGGACTTTGTAACTTAGTTATTATTTACCAAACAACAAAGTAAAAACATGCTCTGAATACCCCAAAAAATCAAAAATTTTAATTTCTCGACACGATCAACATATTAAATCATCCATTAAAGTCTAACCAGTTTATTCTTAGTAACAATAAACGTTAGGAACAATTGGGGTCTCAACTATCATGATTATTACATTATCTCTTATTTGTTTCACTTGTTAGACATCGTTGGACCCATTTCTATTTTATGACCCCACATACTACAAGTATTTATTTTGAGCATACTTGACAAGACTTTCTTTTGTAATAAAAAATCAATTCGATCAATAATGATTAAAAAAGAAAGTTAAAAATAGGGGCACAAGGTTCCTTTTCTATATTTATATGATGAATAGGAAATAGATATAAATCATTAAAACTGCAGGATACAAATCTATAATAAAAATGTAATCTGTTAATATCCTGTTCAACATTAGCTAATAAATAATAAATCCAGTTTTTCATTGAACTGAATCCTGAAGCGGCCAAATTTTAATTCCCGATGAATTTGCTTTTAAGGATGCCTGACTATTTATGAGTAAATGGGTGACCAATTTGTTAGTCATCCTTGAATGAGAGGGAGGGGGTCACAGGCTGTATTGTGTCCTAGATTTTGCTTGACAATTATCTAAATGCCATTTGAATGAGAAAGCATGGAGGCAGACATTAATAAAGAAAATTAAGCAAACCCTTATAAACCATATGATTCATATAAATCCAATAGGAAATATCAACATTATAAATATTAGGTTTACATGTTGAGAGATCTGTTTTTAGCCTAAATAGGAATTAGCCATCACATAACACTAGAATTATACTGGTTAATAAAAGGGGGGGGGGTAGGTGCTTGTAATAGGCCTTGTTTGAGAAAGTAGGCCTTATTTGAATCAATGGACCTGAAACTGGCTTAAATTTTCAAAAGGTGGACCCAAAATCTAGAAAAGGTCTGAATTATTTTTCAACACCGAAAACTGTCATTTTGATATTTTAACCTGCCCTCTTAAGTCAATAAGAATGTAACAAAAAATATAATCTTTAACAATATGTTAACTGTCAAACAAGTTTGAATCAACAAAAAGTCAGCATATTTTACTAGACAATAGTGATATGGTAGGTATGTAAATATTTCAAACAATAGCTTGATATAGCTGGATGATACTTGACATTGTATTTCAACAATAAAATCACATGTTGACGATCAGAGATTGCAAAATAAAGCTACATGTGTATCAATGAAACAAATGGGCCACTTCATTTTTCATTTTTGTTTATCTCTGTCTCAACATAATATAAGGTGATATCATGAAAAAAATGACACACGCAAATGGTTACAAAACTGTTATAATTTCTAACAGACAGATACGAAGCTTGGACAATCGATTTTAAACACTGAACTCAAGACCACTTTTTGCCCTATATAATTTAAAGCAAAATTCCTTAAATTCATCACTCGTATACTGAACAAAGTTAAAATTTTCAATTTATAACTTGCAAAAAATGAGTCTTAGAGCACAATCCTCTTTCACTTGAATGGTATTGAAAATTAAAAGTTTAGCATAGTCCCCTTTGACCAGTATTGTAAATTAAAAGTTTAGCACAGTCCCCTTTGAACAGTATTGAAAATTAAAAGTTTAGCACAGTCCCCTTTGACAGTAATGTAAATTAGAAGTTTAGTGCAGTCCCCTTTGAACCGTATTGTAAATTAAAAGTTTAGCACAGTCCCCTTTGAACAGTATTGAAAATTTAAAGTCGAGCACAGTCCCCTTTGAACAGTATTGTAAATCAAAAGTTTAGTACAGTCCCCTTTGAACTGTATCGTAAATTAAAAGTTTAGCACAGTCCCCTTTGAACAGTACTGAAAATTAAAAGTTGAGCACAGTCCCCTTTGACAGTAATGTAAATTAGAAGTTTAGTGCAGTCCCCTTTGAACAGTACTGTAAATTAAAAGTGAGCGCAGTCTCCTTTGACAGTAATGTAAATTAGAAGTTTAAACGAACCTATCATATAGACATTGCTCATGCCCCCACCAGCATTCCCCGCTGCATCACCATGTCTATTGGAATTCTTCGCAACTTGCTGGGAATGTTTTGGTGAATTTTCCTTGTTATCTTCTTGAGGCGAAGCAGCTGGCCCTTTGGGGGTGTCACTCTCCTTAGGGTCTTCCCCCTTAGGGGCCTTTTTATCATCCCCCTTTGATTCAGTATCTGGTACTGAGTTATCTTCTACCTGTGCTGCTACTTCATCGACCTCAACATCATTGTTGACTGGTTCTACATCAGATTTGGTCTCTACTTTTATATCTGCATTTGGATTACCTGGAAGTCAGTGGATTCATTTAGTGGAGCTAATAATTATTCTAATCAGTATTGAAACAGTGACACTGTGACCTTAACATGCAAAATGTCACCTCCTGCCATTTGTTACAGATGCAAAAGACCAACCACTGATCCCAAAACACCAACCATCAAATACCATCCTAAAAAAAGTTGGAGACTAACAATATGTCACCACTTCTGGTGTTGACGTAAAAGTGCAAAAATATTTTCTCGTCTATCCAGTCTACGTACTGACATGGTTATGAGCTTGTAGGCCTGTGTTAGCCTATTTTGGCTTGTGTCACACAAGTTTAAAATAAAAGCACCATGAATTTGACATCATATTCTTTATAAGGTATATTTTTTCTCAATCAATATACAATAGGACAGGTATGATATATACAAAGAGGTTGAATAATATTATACAAATACTGCAGTCGTTTTGAGGTCAAGATAAATGATGGGCATTCAGATATCTTACCTCGAAGCCTTCTGGAGACGATTTCATTTATAATTTTATCTTGAAGCTTGGCAAAATTTGGAATATTCGGCTCAGCTGTAAGTAAAAAACAAGAACAATAGTTTAATGAAATATTACAGTGGTTTGATGAAATATTACAATAGTTCAATGAAATATTACAATAGTTTGATGAAATATTACAATAGTTTAATGAAATATTACAGTGGTTTGATGAAATATTACAATAGTTCAATGAAATATTACAATAGCCTGATGAAATATTACAATAGTTCAATGAAATATTACAATAGTTTGATGAAATATTACGATAGTTCAATGAAATATTACGATAGTTCAATGAAATATTACAATAGCCTGATGAAATATTACAATAGTTCAATGAAATATTACAATAGTTTGATGATTTTTGATGAAATATTACAATAGTTTAATGAAATATTACAATAGTTTGATGAAATATTACGATAGTTTAATGAAATATTACAATGGTTTGATGAAATATTACAATAGTTTTACAAAATATACAGAAGAAAATAATTTAAAATAAATTCTTTTTTAAAATGTGACTTGTTGTATAATACTTGCTGCAATTTGCCTTAATGCTTATATAATATCAGTTATGCTAAGGACATACCATACCATACCATTACAATACCATTATTGCATTAGTACGGAGGTTAGGCTACATGTAGTGCATGTAGTAGTAATTAGGTCCCCAGTAAATCCAATTTTGAGAAGAGGACGGTAATCCCAAGGGATCATAATATTATAGTTCACATACGTCCCTATTGCTGTATACTGTTTGTAATGTATGTATGTGTGTATGTATGATAGCATATAGATGAATATTACCTTATTGAAATGAACAACTGAGTTAACACATAAAAAACAGTGACGTCAAATCTTAAGTTTTGTATATCTACTTATATCTGCTATAAGGGCTAACTTATCAAATAAACTGAAAGAATTTTGACAGATAACATGTGTAGGTAATTATGTTACAACCTTCGTATTGTATCGTAATTTGCTTTTAGTATAATGAATATACAGTAAAGCCTGTCTCAATAGAACACCGTTGATACCTCTAATATGGGACACCTTTGATACCTCTAATAAAATCTGTTCCATGTGGTGTTTTCCACTTATAGAGGTTCATTTAACATTAAGTTTGTTCTACTTACACAGGTGTTCTACTTTACAGGTTTCGATGTACTTGTATTTACTGTATTTAATATTTACTTATAGGGCAATCCTGTGTCTCAGATATTGAACATTTAACTTATTTCACCTGCATCTCATTCTATCTTAATACCCTGCAAAATTACCTTTTAAATCACCTCATCACTACATTATTGAGATGACATTGATCATTTTAAGTTAACTTATCATTTTCTAAGTATGTTCCAAGTGAAACTGCATATTTAATATTTAACGACATTTTGACATTCTCAGAGGATCTCCTATAATCTCATAAAGTCATATAAAGTATTATAATACAGATAGATGATGATGCTGATCAGATAAGACATCCACCAAGGTTGAGACAAAGGCAAGCATATCTATCTTGGATAAGATATTCACTTGTATGACTCAGAATGATTTACTTATTATGGCTTTCATTTTCCAATACCTGCAGCTAAGATTCATTTTGATATTTTTGGTGAAAGCTAAACATGAGATGACTAAAGAATATTGTATTTAATTAAACATACAAAAAAATAAAGACAATCAAGCATCAAGCAAAATGTAATATTGAAACAGTATATGAATCACTATCATTGAGTCCAGATTTTATATCTGACTCTCCCTTTCACATTGCCATGGTAACCTTATTAATTGATGGTTCTTATGTCAATAATCAAACCACGCACGTCACTAGATATCTAGGCAGCGTGTCAGATCTTATTGCCTGTGATTGGTTTCAAAGGAACTAACTGTAAAACCACGAATATGCATCAATTGCAGTACCCTAATACTTACCCTCAAAAATCATGATTTTATATTTCAATACTGACAAAATCTTAATAATTACATATTACAAATGCTGTTTTTATACATTTTTAATGAGAACTAAAACATAATATCATTTCTCAGCCCCGCTTCCATTGCTAGTTGCCATTACAACTGTACTGACATTTTCTCAACCAATCAGAGAGTAGAAAGACCATCTATCGAAGATGTCCTTTTCTCTTCAACAAGCTCTAGTTAGCTCCATCTTCGAATTCCAAGTGGAATGGAACGCTATACTAGATATATCAAGGTGAAGTTGGAGCAACTAATACCTTGAGAATCAAGATGAGTTAGCTCAATGAGTTCAGATTTCTCTTAAACTGAAAGAGTGAAGACGAAGCCATCTTTTAAGAAGCTGAATCAGACAATAATGAAGGTTTCCGATTCCTCAACTCTTACAGCATCACCTTCTATAGGATCAATGGTCTTAATTAGAACCTTCACATTGATTTTATTAGACATACACACCTATCCTAATAATCATCATCAATGTTTTATGAGGCAATTCACCTAAGTGAAATATTTTAATATTATGATGCAGAACGTTGGCAGGACATGACATGACAGTATATACACTTCTCATGTTATTGACTTAGGAAGCAAGCATTAATGAAGAGATGGGCATAATAAAAATCTTACACATGCACTCTCTATAGTGAAAATTCTAATATAATACAACCTCGAACAAGGCATTAAGATGCAAAATGTCACCACCAGCCATTTTTTACACACTGACCACCAAACACCCATTGACAAACACTGATTATTGTCCACAAAAAGTTGGAGACTTCAACAATATGTCACAACCTGTACCACTTGTCGAGGTGACATAAAAACAAAAAATGATACTGCCCAGCCTATCGTCAGGCGCAATATTGGTCAATATTTGAGGTTTACTTTTGGTCTACTCATGAGGCGTACTTCTGGTCTACTTTTGGTTTTTCTCTGTGTTAAATCCCCATAGTCAGGCGCGTTTCAAATATTTAAATTAAGCCAAAAGTAGACCAGAAGTACACCTTATTTAATGACCTCATCAGGTTTATCAGGTCTATATTTGAGGTCTAGACCTCATTTAAGCCTCAACTATCTGTAAATCAGGTCTATATTTGAGGTATACTTTTGGTCTACGCCTTATTTGAGGTTCACTATTGGTTTTCAGGTCTACTTCTCTTCTGCTTTTGGTGTACACCTTACGTTAAGGCACATTTCAATTATGGAAATTAAGCCTTAAGGTCTAGACCTCATTTCAGGTACAAGCCTCATATACCTGTAAGTAAGGTCAGGTCATGTTTTGTTGTTTCAAAGTAGAAAAGTACTTAATACATATGAGTACCCTCCATAATTGTTAAATAAATTGCATTTATTTTGAATTGCTGTGTTGTTTTCTAGGATTAACTTGTCTCATGGATAAGATACAGATCTATGAACACATTAGAAAGATGAAGCAAAAATTACACAGTATTCTTATATAAATTATATGTAGGCTTCTAATATGATGTATTTTTGTTTCATCATTTAAATTTAACAATATTTCAATATTTTATTATTTTCAGACATCCTTCTTTAGGTTTCCCAGATTTTGATTATTTTTTTAAGTTCTGATAAAAACCATTAATAGGGAGTTGAAAATACAGTTTACTGGTCTGTTAACCTAATATATTATAATCTGTCTCCTTCGTGATTCTGACAAAATACTACAGTAAGTGTGGCTTTTTCAGATTTATGTTTTCTAAGTTTTTAAAAAAATTCTATGTTTATCAGGTCTAGATTTAGTCATTTTATAAATGTTTAAGTTTTTAAGGCGCAGTTTTGGTCTATACGCCTGTCAGTGAGGTCTATTCTAAAATGTTCTTAGTTTATCAGGTCTAGATTTGGTCATTTTGAAAATTGTTCAAGTTTTTCAGGTGCACTTTTGGTCTATACGCCTTACAGTGAGGTCTATTCTAAAATCTTCTAAGTAAATGTGGTTTAGATTTGGTTTTTAAGGCGCAGTTTTGGTCTATACGCCTGAAAATAAGGTCTATAACTGGAATTATTGTGAGTAAATGAGGCTAGGTTTAGGTCTAAGCCTTAAAAATACCTGTAAAAGAGGCATACTTTTAGTCTAGACCTGAAAGTAAGGCGCATTTAAGGTTAACTTTTGGTCTACGCCTCAAAAACCTGATGATAGGCTGGGGATATTCAAATTCCTCATCAAACCGGCCATTCTGATACTCATAGCATCTTTCTGTTTCACCTCAGGGCTTACAATAAATGAGACGTGATGGTTTATCATGATATATCAAACATGTAGTGTAATATTCAGTCTCTCCATCTGCAAGTAATACCTAATAGAAATTAATCTACAGAAAGCTAAAAGAATTGTGTCATGAATCACAGTTGTTTCTATAAATAGATTTCTCTCTCATCATGACAATCAGAAACAATCTTTTGTGTAAAGGAGAATGAAGTGGAATGCGGTCTTCAGTATATCTAATAGCCTGAATTCGCTATCAGTATGCCTTCTTTTGATTGAAAGCATCTCTGAAGAGGAGTCAAAAACAAGCCATAAAGCAGATATAAGGTCTGTGGAGAAAAAAATTGATAAATTTTACCTTTTCTGAGCTATCGGGGCAAAGTTTGGTCCAACATCTTCTTCCTTATTCCTATTTTATAAAAATGTATGCATATGGCAATATTCATCAACCAGTAGAACTGGCAAATCGTTTAGAATCTACAATTCCATACAAGGAGTCCCACTCATAGATTTTTCAAATTCTTTCCAAGTCGACGTCGAAACACCTAGCGGGTGAAATTGAAACTAATTTTTCTGGCTGCTCGAATCGATAAAATCTCTGATAGTGTGAGTCTTTTAATGAAAACTTTCTTATAGAAGTCACTTGACGATTATTAGAAAGCATTAAAAGTTGAATCCGAAGCTTAATCCGAAATAAAAGTGAAAAAAACATTGCGCGGACGTTAGAGAACAAACTTCCGGTTTAATAAAAAATGGCGGACGTCGAAGGAGAAAAGATGACAAAGAATTAGAGGATTTTCCTTTGCCATTATCGATCGTTATAAGGTAT